CCTTCCTCCTCCTTCCTCGTCCTCCTCCTCCACCAGCACCTCCTTCTTCTGCCTTCTCCTTCCTCCTCCTCCTCTCTCCTCCTCTTTTTCATCCTCCTTCCTTCTTCTACTGCTCCTCCTCCTGCTCCTCCTCTCTCCTCCTCCTGCTCCTCCTTCCTCCTCCACCTCCTTCCTCCTCCTCCACCACTCCATGCTAATGTAAGCAGCCGTGGCACTTTCTTCCGGCAGAGACGCTGTCTGTCCCCTATGCCGCGGCAAACTTTCAAAGGGCGACGTGTTCTCGGTAGAGCAAACGCGGGAGGCTCGACAGAACCTTGCTCGCAACGCATCCGACGAGGACGAGGACGGGGAGAGGCAGACGGATCGGGTGCAAGCGGAAGAGGAGGAGCGGGAAGAGGAGGAGCAGAGGCTGAGCCCCAAGATTCAAGCGCTTCTCGTCGATGAGCAGGAGGCTCAGCAGGCAGACAAGACAGTCAAGTCTGTCGTATTTTCCAGCTTCCTCTCATGTTTGGATGAGATAGAAAGTGCCTTGATCGCTGCTGCCATCCCCGTCTTTCGCATCGATGACACGACCAGCATCGTCCAGCGCCGGCGGCTGATACAAGACTTTGACTCTTGTCCTCAAGGCGCCCTTCTCCTCCTCAGCTCCGAGGTCACAATCCTTTCCATCTCCTTCCCCCTGCTCCCCTCGCCTCGCCCTGACCTCCAGCTAGGTGAGAGGCGCGGGGCTCTCGCTCACCATGGCATCGAGAGCTCACATGATGGTACCATGATGGAACGCGGCAGTTGACGAGCAGGCCATGCATCGGCTCCACCGCATCGGGCAGACGCGCCCAGTGAGCATCATCCGCTACATGTGGCAAGGGACCGTTGAGCAGAAGATCATGGAGATGCAGGAGAAGAAAGATTGGCTGGGGAAGGCGCCGATGATGAGGATGGAAGCCGACGAGCTGCTGGAAATGCGCCTGCGGCTGTTCAGGACGCTATTCGTTAGATAGAGTCAGGGATGTCGTGGGAGACGACTACTCGGTGGGAGACGACTGCTCGGTGGGAGACGACTACTCGGATCTGATGTGAAATTCTTTACTCAAAGTGAAATTCATTC